AAATAATTGTTTGTAGTATATAAAACAATCATAAAATTGCCATTAGGAAAAATTATAGATTACAAATGATTGATTATTGTCCAGCAATGTATTTGATTTCTTATAGCAAATTCAAAGTAATAGGTAAGAAAAGAATTCCTTGTAAAATAATAATAATAATAATTATAATTATAATACTACATACATAAAATTATTGTATTTGACATTTCTGTCACTTCTGGCTTCTGTGTCATTTGCCCCCTGACTAAGCATTTAAAGAATTTAGGGGAAGCATTTAAATAATCCTGTGAATGCACTTAAAGAATGCAGAATCGAATCGTTAATCGAATCAAATCGAATTTAATTGTGAATTGAATCGAATTGAATCATTCTAAATTTGCAAAAATCGTTCTTGAATCGAATCGAAAAACTGTGAATCGTGAATCGAATCACTGTCTACACAGCCCTAGTCTTGTGTCTTGCCCTCAATATACCTGTTTGCCATTGTTTGACCCATGCCTGTTATGAGCACATCTCTTAATAAAAGCATGCACATGGATCCGCTCGCTTCATGTCTCTGTCGCCCCATAACAATTGTAGACTCAAAATCAAATATATATATATATATATATATTAAACAAAATAACTATCATATCATTTTATATAATTATTGTATATAATTTTATCAGTGTTTATGATCATGGCAACAAGTGACATTAATCAGTTTCCCCCTCTGGGGTGATAGCATCATAGAAACACCTTTGAACAACATATTAAAAGGTGAGGGTAGGTAAACATTTCAGAGAAGTGCAAGTTAGTATTTAGGTAACACTGGATACTGAGTTTACTGTGACTTCATTAGGCAACATATGAATCAAACCTTTAAAGCAATAAAACAACTCCCTTCGTAATAACAGAATCCATCTGCAGTAAGTATGTGTTGCTTTACATAGTCAACTAATACTAGGTAACTACCAAATATTTCCTATTTTTACAACATGTTTATATCAAATTCCTTGATATTTCTGTTTACTATGCAATACTTCAGTGTTTCCATGTTTTGCTAAAATTCTGATTAATTGTGCTTATATTAGCACATGACAAATAGTGTGGACTGTTTAACCTGTTTAGACAACAAGCAGTTATGTAAAATGTCATACATGGATTTTACATGTGGACATCATCTGTATATGAGCACAAAAAAGTCATAGAATGCAAAATATCTGGGTGATATGCATTTTACATCCTAGAGCTCATAAACAATATTTCCATGTTCATTCTTCAAAGCACAAAGCAGTAGTCTATGCTGAAATTTTATAAATGAATATGATATGTCCAACTGTTACTGTTTGCAGGTTTTGTGCAGGAAATGGACAACCTGACATTCAGACACAGTATTCTCCTAGTGGAGGGACTTCAAGTTACACCTCAGTCTACCTATGTTGTTTTCACATTTCTTCTTTTGGTTTATGTCTTCATAATGGTTTCCAATATTGCACTTGTAATTCTGATCTCAACAGAGAAGAATCTACATCATCCTATGCATTTCCTGTTCTGTAACTTGCCAATGAATGATATATTAGGGACAACTGTCATTTTGCCACGCTTATTGCAGGACATTTTAAAAGAAACGTCAGAGCGCTATATGACATATGTGGAATGTGTTGTTCAAGCATATTTTGTGCATATATTTGTAGCAGCATGCCATTATGTTCTTATAATCATGGCCTTTGACAGATATGTGGCTATATGCAATCCACTGCGATACACGGCTATAATGACCAATAAAATGGTGGTAAAATTATCAGCATCAGCCTGGGGGCTGTCGGTACTTATGGTCACAATTCTGATAGGACTCACTGTGCGACTGTCTCACTGCAGATCTAAAATTGAAAATCCTTTCTGTGACAATGCCTCACTGTTTAAACTGTCCTGTGAGGATGGTGTTGTTGTTAATAATGTGTATGGAATCATTTATACTGTGGTTTTATTTTCCTTCTCAATTCTGTCTATATTCATAACATATGGCAAAATTGCTAATGTATGCATAACTAGCAAAAACAAAGCACTGAACAGCAAAGCCATAAAAACATGCAGCACTCATTTAGCTGTTTATTTAATCATGCTTGTTTCTGGCTCCACTTTTATTTTTCTCCATCGTTTTCCTCTCTACTCTGAAAGCAGGAAACTAGCAAGTATAATGTTCCACATTGTACCACCAGGACTAAATCCTTTAGTATATGGTTTACAAACTAAAGAAATAAGACAGAAGTTTGTAAAATTTTGGTGCAGAGAAAAAGGAGCATCTTAATGTATTATATTATTATACACTGGTAACAGCATTTAATGTGTTGAGTCAGTAACTCCCCTTTAGAAATACATACAATGCTGTGATAATCTTCAAATTCTGTCTTTGGATCCAATCATACAAGTGATGTTTTAGGAATGTAAGTCTTTAGTAACTGCTTTGTAACTTAACTTTTTATTTATTTTAGGGGCACTAAATCAGTGTCTTCACATGGTAAGGTGTTACAATATATTTATATTTTAAATAAAATATCTACTTACATAGCCTAAATTGTATTTTATATAATTTCTTGTACCCTTTTTCATTTAGAAAATCTACTGAATAAATAGTTTTTTTTTTTTTTTTTTTTAATGGAGTACATATTATTTCACCTTATAAAACCAAATGTTAAGGGAATAGTCTTTATTTGAGTTTAGTTAGTTATATAATTATAAAATTTGAACAGTATCTACATTACACTTATACCTTTGACCATAGTCAGAGTATTTTCTTATCAATTGAAACTCTTCTGTCTGAGATTCTTCTGGCCCAATAGCTCTAAGTGTGATTAAATAATAATAATAATAATAATAATAATAATAATAAGCTACATTACTATTGCAATATGCACAATAGTACAATCTAAAAAATTATATTTCCTAAAATACAAAGCAAAATTACAAATTTTGATATTTTAATTTCTTAATTCCTTCACTTGTAAGAGTTAAACCCCCAAGCTTTTATTTTGGTGCAGGGAGACCTTTAAGTGACCTTTAAGTTTAAGTTAAGGTTTATAAATGTTTCTTCTTATAGATTTGTGTTACAATGTGAAATGTTTACCTGTCCCCAAAAAATATTGGAAATTATGCTTATGTGAAAAATCATAACTAGCACATGTTGTGTTCTCAAGTGCACATTAAACTCAAAGCACATGCAAAAATTTAGTTTGCTTGTACTGGTGAATCAATACTGCGGAAAATGAGTATTGAAACCATTTCAAACATTCAGAATCACATACTGATTAAGTACAGAGTAAGGCCCAATCCCAATTCTACCCCTTAGCCCTTTCCCATCCATTTCGCACGTTCACGTGAAGGGGTAGGGGTGTCTCGATTATTTTTTGGTTGGAGGGGTAGGGGTAAGGGGAAGGGCCAGAAAGCCCTTCAAACAAAGATTTTTCGGGACCACACTTCAAACGAAGGGGTATGAATTATCTCATCGTAAACCGGCTTCAGCGGCAACATGGCTGCCCGAGCGAACAAAAAGACACATAAATGTAAGCATTTTTGGCATTAATAAAGATTTTAACGAAAAGTAATCATTTGTTTTATGTTACATTCAATCGTGAGTTCATATTTACGGTCATGCTAATACGGTTCAGAATGGTTGTGTGCTTTTAAAAACATGCAGTTAGTGCAGAGTGTAAAACTGAATGGACAGCAAACAATGTTTGTTAATTACAAAATATGCATCATAACAGATTTATTTATGGGGAAAAAACAGTGACAGGTCTGTTTGTTACTCTTTTTGCAGGTTTTGTGTAGCACAACTAATGGACAACCTGACATTCACAAACAACATTCTCCTCATGGAGGGACTGAAAGTTACACATCAGTCCTCCTATCCTGTTTTCATCCTGCTTCTCTTGGTTTATATTTTTTCCAATGGGATGTAACATTGGTCTTATAATACTGATCTCAACAGACAAGAATTTAAATCACCCTATGCATTTTCGGTTCTGCAACTTGCCACTGAATGATATCCTAGGGAACACTGTCATTATGCTACGCTTACTACAGGACATTTTAATGGAAGACTCAGAGCGCTATATGACATATGTGGAGTGTGTTGTTCAAGCTTACTTTGTTCACACATTTGCAACTGTAAGCCACACTGTGCTAATGATCATGGCCATTGACAGATATGTGGCTATATGCAATCCACTGCGATACACAGCCATAAAATGGTGCTTAAACTATCAGCATTAGCCTGGGGGGTGTCAGTACCTGCAGTGACAATTCTGATAGGACTCACTGTACGCCTGTCTCGCTGCAGTTATAAAACTGAAAACCCTTTCTGTGATAATGCCTCACTGTTTAAACTGTCCTGTGAGGACAGTGTTTTTATTAATTTTTTTTATTAATTTTTTTTTCTACTGTGATTATGCTTATGTAACCCTTCTCTAAAGGGTAAGTACACACTAGGTTCGGATACACAACTCAGAGTCACTGAATTCTAGTATAGTGAATGGCACAACCAGAAGTTATTGATAACCACACAAATGACCATTTTGCATGAACTGTATTGAAGTAACAAATATAACAATTGTTATCACAAGAACATCAATAAAGTGTGGTGCGCAATCAGTGTATGTGTCTCCTTCCTTTTTGCTTAAAGTTCCTCAGTCCAGTCTTTCAAATGACCAAAAATTGTTTCCTTTAGTGGAAATCAGTTCTGTCTTTTGGTTCCAAAAAACAAGGTAAATCTAAATAAAAATAAAAGAATTCAACAAGAAAAATGTTCTATCCAATCCCAATCTGGAATTTAGGAGAAAGGGAAAAAACTGCATTCAAGGGTCCACTGAGATCCTACTGCACAGTGTTATCACATGAGACATCCAGCAGCAATCGATGACTACATGGATCCAACGATCAAGGGTGGTTGGCTCACCATCTTCCCTCCGGAAGAATTCAAATGCATACAAAAAACCTGGCCTGCAATAAAACAGGCACATCCATATCATATTACTCAATCAACTCACAATCAATTTATATGGACCTTAATGTACATTAAACTCTTTTTTAAACATTATTAATGAATTTAAATCATGAATTCAATTCCTTAAACATTCACAATCATGTGCTCAATTCACTCAACATACATATTTGAGATAGATAAAGCTCACAGTGAATTTGCGTCAACGACATGATTTCACTCTAATTAATAATATTCAACATAGCTTTTAACTATGCATACAACTCTTACATCAAGTCGATAATACTCACGTTTCTCAAATCACAAAATCACAGTACGTGTCCTCAACCATGCATTAAAATGGCTGCTCAACATTACAGCATTTGTTTGTACACATCGAGGTGATAATTCTTTCAAAACTCACAGAAATAATTTGATCATAACATGAAAAAAAAACATTAGAGACAAAATACAACAATATGAATCTCCTCTTTTAACTATTTAGGAGTTAATGTTAGATCGTTTAAACTCTTTAAGCTTGTTCACACTCACCGAGATTCAAGTTCACACCTGACAAAATACAGCTTCAATCCAATGGTTCAAGTGTTCATGAAGACCTCAATCATCTTTTTAGAGTGATTATCAGTTTGCAATTTATGTAAATACAATGCATTTATAGAGTAATCAATTCAAACTTCCCTGCATCTCCACAACGATTATCTCCTCGAATGCTGTCTGACGCTCTGGGCTCCAGCGTTCTGCAAAAGGCTCTTTTGTGTTTAAATAAGTTTTGTCTCTAGCTGTTACCCTTCCCCATTTCCGCTGATGAGGAAATCCAGCTGTGAGGTTAGTCAGGGGTTTGACGACTTTTGAGTAATCCTTTATGAAACGTCTATAATATCCTGAGAATCCAAGGAACGATCTAAGTTCTTTTAAATTCTGGGGTCTCGGCCAGGTTGTTAACGCTTGAATTTTCTCAGGATCTGTTCTTACGCCTTCTCTAGAGACAACATGTCCCAGGTAGCGGACGGATGTCTGAAAAAATTTGCACTTATCGGGAGACAACTTTAGTCCATAATCTCTGAGACGGTTAAGTACATGCAGGAGCCTGGTCTCGTGCTCTTCCAAAGTGTCGGAGTAGACAACCAAGTTGTCTAAGAAGACAAGAACCTCCTTTAAATGGATGTCCCCCATACATTTTTCCATTAGGCGTTGGAAAGTACTGGGAGCATTAGTTACCCCTTGAGGCATGCGATTAACCTCCCAGAAGCCTACAGGACATACAAAGGCCGTCTTGGCCTTGTCTTCTTCCTCCATCTCGACTTGATAGTATCCAGACTTTAAATCCATCACAGAAAACCACTGTGATCCAGCAAGAGCAGAAAATGACTCTTCGAGATTTGGCAGCACATAGGCATCTCGTATAGTTTGCATGTTCAATTTTCTATAGTCCACGCACAGCCGTACGTCACCATTCTTTTTGCGAACGACGACTATTGGGGACACGAATGGAGACTCAGATTCTCTAATTATGCCTGCTTCTGCCAAGGTTTGCAAGTGTTTCTTTACTGCCTCGAAGTCTCGGGGGTGGATTGGTCGTGGTCGCTGCTTAAAGGGAGTAGGATCCATCAGCTTTATACAATGTTTTATTTTAGTTGCATGGCCGAAGTCAAGAAAAGGAATTCAACCTTTGTGTTATGCGGTCCCTCCAATGTTGCGGTAATGGGGATTCCCCAAAGTCTAACTGCAATTCGGGGTCGGGAGTTTGTCTTTGCAGACTGGAACAACTTGCGGCAGTAAATTCCTGTTTATTCTTACAAGAATCTGAAATTATCCTCTGGGGAACACGGAGTTCAGCCAAGATACAGTTACGAGGGAGGACGATATCATGGTCAGTCTCATTCCTCAAAGAACCTTAAAAGGGCTGTGCTTAGGAAGAGTAATGAGGCAATTATCAACAAACACCCCACTAGGAAGGACCGATCCTGAAGGCTGTTCAAGTAAAGCCCATGCTTCATCCTTTGTTGAAGCAGCTTGAACTATGTACCCCTCAAGTAAAGTCTTTTGGCCTGCTGGGAGAACTTCTTGGGTCCGTCCTTTGAATTTCCCGAAGCTAAGTCTACCACTTGTGGCTTGTTTTTGTCTTTTATTCAATGTTCTCCAGACCTGAATGTAGCCACAGCAGGGGGAACTGCTTAGAGTTGGAGATTCATCACTGCACTGTTTGTACACAGCATCCAAAGTGTTGGTGCCAATTATCAGAGGAACTTTACCACTCGACCTAATGTCTGGGACTACTAAGGCAAGGGTAGGTATCTCAGGCTGAGACTGAAGGAAGTCCTTAGGGAACTTAATGCAAATTTCAATGTATCCTAAATATGGCACTTACTGACCATTTGCCCCTTCCACAGTAAGTAATTGATCAATGGGCTGAACAGGCTGATCAGAAAGACAGCGACTATAGAAGGATTGTGCTACAGTAGTTACCTGAGACCCTGTATCAAGTAAACAGTTGCATTCTGTCCCAGATATCTCAACTACAGCAGTGCACTTTTCTCCAATTAGTCGTACCACTT